TTTTTTTTTCTTGTTGCTTTTTAAATCTGGTAAATACCCCTTCGATAATTCAAAGAAACTACTCATTCCTTCCCTCTTGAATAGATAAAGATTTCATTACCTCCATTGTTAGTTGTCGTTGGGCATCTTTGGAAGCTTGTAGGTGAAGTCTTAGTTCTTCTTTCTCAATCACATGCTACAACATATTAAAAGAGACATGTGAGGCCTTCCCACATAAAATATAGCTACACTCTTTCTTTTAAAGAAATTTCTTCCTTCCCATATAAAATATAGCTACACTCTTTCTTTTAAAGAAATTTCTTAAACATTTCTCTCTGAGGTATAGACTTAAGGCCCATAAAAAGCTAATCTTTAAAACGAAATAGGGCCAATAAAATGGTCAGAATAAAAAAATCCATCAAGGTGTTCAGAGGACAATGAGCATAAGTCAACAATTCATACTGCAACTTTCTGGAAAAAAATCTAACCCCATTTATAAAGAGAAAGAGTGAGTGATTAGCAAGTATTTACTATATTATATAACATAAAGATTAAAATAGTAACAAGACTTAAGCATTTCAAAACGCAGGGACTGTGTTTATTTTGCTTAATGTATTTATTTAGCACTTAGCAGAATGCATGGTACTAGGTCAGTGTTTGACAAATATCTGTTGAATAAGTGAATAAACCTACTTCTTTAAGTTTATGCTGAAGATCTACAATCTGAGACAAGAGAGAGGAGATCTCTTCCTGGTATCGAATCAGTTCATCACTCTTCCCTGACAATTCTTCAGTCATTCTGGACATCTGAGCATTTGTTTCACCTTGGAAGCAAAATGAAAATTTTAAAATTAACATAAATGTAGGGCGCGGGTTGGTCAACTATGACCTCTGGGCCAAATCTTGCTTTATAACAAGCATTAGACTATTATGAATGAATTTTCCTTTAACATATATATTTTTTAAAAACCTAGTGAAAGCAAAAGAGAAAAATAAAGGTACTTCTGAGATAGGCTAGTGCTAAGAATTGAATAAGAGAGAGTCAAACTAGAAAGAAAGATGACTCATAAAGGCAAGCAGGCTAAAGACTTTGCTTTAATTTTTTTCTTTATGAAAAAGATATTTGCTCTAATCTTTTTCTTTATGAAGGACAAGAAGGCTCACAGGAGAGCTGGGTGAATTATGTATCTCTGCAAGTGCTAATGGTAATTCCATTTGTCTCTTGAGAACTCATATTTATAAGTCCCATAAGCAATGAAAATTAATCTTAACTAATCTAAGCCTTGCAACACAGCAAGACTCCTGTCTGTATGAAAAAATAGACAAATAAACCAGTCATGGCGGTCAGTACATGCCCATAGTCTCAGTCACTCAGGACATGCTGAGGTAGGAGGATAACTTGAGCCCAAGAGTCTGAGGTTGCAGTGAGCTATAATGATACCAGTACACTCTAGCTTGGGCAACAGAGTGAGACCCTGTAGCAAAAACAAACAACGACAAAACCAAAAAACAACCCGACACAAACAAATAAGCAAAACAAAAACAAAAAACCCTACCCAAACCCCCAAATCTAACAGGGAATATTTCCAGAATGGAACAGTCACAATCTGCAATCTGTATCATTATGTGATAAAGCTATCGAGAAGCTTCTGTAGGAGGGAGACTTTCTGGGATAACAGCAATCGAAGTAGGCTCTCCACAGCAACTTACAGCCTGGCTAGCACTCTTGCGTGCACATGAAGCAGAATGTTTAGAATTCCATTGGGGAAATAAACCTTTATTATATACAAGAAGTTTGACATCTAAACACAAGTTGAAAAACTGTTTCTCAGTGTCATAAAAAACTTTCTTAAATTGATAGAAAGCCCATAATATTCCTAAAGGTGGTGATATGGAGGCTGGAGACCTGGATTGGAGCTCTTGAGAAAGTCATTTTTTCTTTTTTAAAGTATAAAAAAGTGTGGATGACATTCAATTTACATTTCTTCTGGCTCTCTAATATTCTGCTATTTTAAGGTATCACATTTTGAGGCCCACAACCCAAATGAATGGATGTGATATTATCATACCATTTCTTTCAGTATGGAATGCTATATAAATCATCCTGTATTTGAGGGGGATATATTCCAGGAGCCCCAGTGGAAGACTGAAACTGTGGATAATAATGAACCATATGCTGTATATACTAGTTTTTTTCTATACATATGTACCTATGATGAAGTTTTAATTTATAAATAGGCATAGTAAGAGACTAATAATAACTAATAAAACAATTATAACAATATGCCATCATCACTGCTCTCATGCTTTGGGGCCATTACTAAATAAAATAGTGGTTATTAAACATAAGCACTGTGATACTTTGGCAGTCAATCTGATGAATGAGATAGCTACTAAGTGACTAATAGGTGGGTAACGTCTATAACACGGATAGGCTGGATGAAGGGATGATTCATGTCCCAGGTAGGATGAAGCAGGATGGCATGACATTTTATCAACTACTTGGAAAGGAACACAATTTAAAACATACTCTATTTCTAGAATTTCTGATTTAATATTTTTGGACTGTGGCCAGGGACAGTGGCTCACAGCTGTAATCCTAGAACTCTGGGAGGCCAAGGTGGGAAGACTGCTTAAGCTCAGAAGTTGCAGATCAGCCTGAGTAAGACCCCATTTCTACCAAAAAAAAAAAAAAAAGATTAGCCAGGCATTGTGGCAGACATATGTAGTCCCAGCTACTCAGAGTGAGACTATGGCTACAAATGGGTAACAGGAACCACTGAAAGTAAAACTGCAGGTAAGGGGTAACTACTGTACTTATAGAGAAATTATATATCTTTCTCTAATGAACGTAATCTTTTCCAACAGATTTATTTTAAAGAATTATTTTAGTTAACATTATCTCACATCAAAATATATTTCTTCAGTGAAATAAAACTGGTACTTAATAAATACTTGTTGAGGGACTAATCGATCAAAACTTATGTGCACATATGGAAGTAAAACTCAATAAAAATCAAGCAAGTGGGGGGTGGGAGGGATGGGTAAATTCATACCTAACAGGTATAATGCATACTATCTGGGTGAAGAGCACACTTATAACACTGACTCAATCTGTACAAAAGCAAATTATGCAACTAAAACTTGTGTACCCCTCTAATATTCTGAAATATAAATAAATAAACAATTAAGCATTGAAAGTGGCTCTACCACTTACCAGTTTTCTGGCTTTGGCAAATCATATCCTCTATAGGAGCACTTCCTTATCAACAAAATGAGAACTTTAATTCCTTTCGCTATAATATGCTGCATCTAAAATATTTCTTTATTTAATGATGCAAATGGTATCTTATTTAGGGTTGTAGACTTAATGTGCTATTTTAAGATTTTCAGTAAGGGGCGGTGGCTGTGGCTCAGGTGTAGGGCACTAGCCCCATATACTGAGGGTGATGGGTTCAAACCCTGCCCTGGCCAAACTACAACAAAAAATAGCCAGGTATTGTGGTGGGCGCCTGTAGTCCAAGCTACTTGGGAGAGAATCGCCTAAACCCAGGAGTTGGAGGTTGCTGTGAGCTGTGATGCCATAGCACTCTACCAAGGGCGATAAAGTGAAACTCTGTCTCCAAAAAAAAAAAAAAAGATTTCAGTATTTAAAATTGTTTCTTGAGATGCTTTTACTGAAACCACTGATCTAATTTCCCAGGTGGAGATATTGTACCAAAGAATTGCTCAAAGGCTATCAGATGAATATGTTAATACTCACGAAGTTCTTTAACACAGTCATTGACAAGCTGCTGTTCCTTCTCTTCATAGGTAATAGTTTCTGTCTTTATGTGACAAGCCTTCAATGAAAACAATCAGTATGTTGATAACTTCTAATGACTTTATAGTAATAACTACAAAAACCTTTAATTTGAAAATTTTGACGATTAAAGTTTATAACAAGCATCTTGCCCTCTCTGCTCTCAGGGCCTTTTCCATTCCTATTCATCCTTCCTGTCACACACATCTCTGACTGGCTAATTTCTGGTCTCAGCTAAAACAGCACTTGCTTTAAGTAGGACTTCCATGATTCCCTCCACTGTACAAGCTCACAAAACCTTCTAACTTCCCAACAAGGTTCTTATAGTTGTAATTATTTAGTTACTTGCATAAACTCCATGAGATATATATATTCTATGCCTCCACTTTTGCTATTTTTTTCCTGTCAACCTGCTACTATCCACTTTTTTTTTTTTTCCTACTATCCACTTTTTAAGAGAACTGAAGTAACAATGGAAGGTGAATACAGTTCCTGTCTGGCAGCCCCTAATTGGACTGCTTTTAGCAAATCTGTAGTTATGCCATACCTCAATACTACCCGAACCTAAACTTTATAGCCTTTAAGGTGAAGGAAAATGAGAATTAGGTTGAATGTACCTTTGATCGAAGAGCCATATTCTCTTCTTCCAGTTCCTTAAGCTTTTCTTGCAGCATGTCCAATTGCAGTAAACCTTGAGATAAGCTAAAGGACTCATTGAACCGAAGAGGTGTAGAACAGCTGGAATCAGTTTCACTTTCTTCAGAAGCAATGGAGACAATTCGAAGTAACTCATCTTTCTTGGAGAGCTCATGCTGTAGCTGATTAACCTGTATATATAAAATGCTTGATTTACAAGTACTTTATTTTGCACCATTTATATGGCATATAGCTTCTAATGCATGGAATCACTGCTTTTCATCATAAAACAAAATCACAAAATCATCTGCTAGATTTTACTGACTAAAGCAACAATTACTAAAAAAGAATAACAAACCCTGGATGCTTTCTAATCTAAGGGCTTTAACTTAACAAATAAAGCTTTTTTTCTACAGTAGGTGAGAAGAAAAATCAATTTTCATATTCTATACAATATGAACATAAGAGGAAAATTTCATCTAAGATAATGATACATTCACAACTGAAAAACAAAACAGAAGAACCTCCAAAGTATGAGAATAAACTCTTACATTATTCTTATCCAAAAGGCTTGTACTTTTACGCTTTATTACTGTGTATGTCCTCCCAGGAGAACTGATTTTAGTTATAGGGAATAAGTACTTTTAATCTAAAAGCTCAAATATTATCATCCATAATGCATTTATAAAATATAAATGAAACCAGATAAAAATAAGTTATAGAAAATTTGAAACGTAACCATTTGAGTTATTAAGAAATCAGTTCTCACTACAAATTTATGTAATGGAATAAATATATTTTCAAGAAACTTTTCTTTTCTTCCTTTGTTTTGGTGTTTGAATAAACATACCCATAGGGTGGTGCCTGGGGCTCAAAGGAGTAGGGCACGGGCCCCATATGCCAGAGGTGGCAGGTTCAAACCCAGCCCCAGACCTCCCCCCCAAAAAAAAAACTGCAAAAAGAAAAAAAATACCCATATATTTTTGTATCTATTTATCAAAATAAACTTAAGGTAAGATCATATACAATGTCTACACAAAAGTGTGAAAATAGTCTTAGAATCTAAAAAGTGTGCCACACATACTACAGATACAGAATACAGGATTTAAAATGACAAAAGTAGTCACGAGTGCCCTTCTCCACATCTAACATTTCATTTCTCTATTGATTAATTCAATGGTTGTCAACAAAGTCAACAGGTATTGTGGTGTTATTTACCTATTGCCATCACTTTAGGAACAACCAGGAAAATAAATTTCTCCATTGCACAAGACTAATTATTTCATGCCACAAATATCTGACCAAATGCTTACTTGATCAAAGGCTTGTCCCAGCTGCTCCTCCAGGGCTTCATTCTGCTCTGATAAGACATGGTTTCGCTTTAAGAGAGCCTGTCCAATTCGAGCAGCGAGTTCCAGATCACGATCTCTCTGTTAAAATACCAAAATACACTTTTTCTTTGAGTACAAACAAAATTAAATAGTGTTTAAAAGATTCTGCAGTCAATTTTGCTAAACTCAAAAGCAATGTCCCAGAAAGCATCAAGACTTCTTTGAATGCCCAGATACCACAAATAAGCAGAGGGCCTGGCATACAAGTAGTGTTTAATAAATGCTGATCAAATGAATGAGTACTATAGTTCTAAACACAAGAGGACATCTCTTTTCTTGATGCCAAGTAAGATTTATGGGTTACTCTAGTAAGTTAGGGCCTAGCAACTCAACCTTTCAAACTTATAATTTTGGGGAATTAGAAAATCAACAATCTTTGAAAATGAGGATGGGGCCTGTATACTAAAAGCCCAAGAAATATTTGTTGAATGCATTTATGTATCAAGTATGATAATGATGTAAGTTCAGGTATTTAAGATAGGGAGATTAGGCAGGTATGCCACAGACGGTTCCATTTAGGGCAAAGCTTATATATTTAGAGCCAATAGCTTAGAGGAAAGTGCAGCCAACAGTGCTTTTGTCAACTGGTACAGGAATAATGCTATGAAATAAAATAGGCAATAAAGGCTAGAAATTTTGAAGCTTCAGGGCTCTGCCTAGAGTATAAACAAAAAGGAGTCTAAAGAAGTTGGTGGTAATGCTGCAGGGAGGCCTGTGGAAAATAGTGACACTTAGCAATGGCACAGGAATTCCATAAGCACAGTGCTGGTGAAGACTGTATCACATAGGATGGAAACCCACTAATATACATCTAACTGCCTTATATATGATAGTCTGGGCTCCATTTAGATTAATCACTGTATAAATAATATTAAGCTTCTACTCTTTTTCTTCATAGCACATGCAAATGAATGGATTATCTCCAATTTTTTAAGACTCACTTATCTCATTTGAAATATAGGCTAAGTGACATACACAGAAGTCATTCTAGCATGACTTTATGTAAGCATGATAATGATATAA